GGGGGGGGGGGGGGGGGGGGGGGGGGGTTAGGCTTTGGATTTTAAATGCAATTAAGTCCATTCCAGCAGCACCCCACCCCCACCCCCCCACCCCCCCGGCCCGTCAGCTGGAATTGAGTATTGCATAAGATACCATACAGTCCTGTCTTTTTCTATACTACATTGTATACCACATTTATCTAAATTTTTGGAGTAATACCCAAGAATTTCCACCTTATTTCAGCTTCCAATCTTTTTGCAGTATTTTTTCCAATATCCCTAACACCTAAGTGACAAACTATTCTGACACCACCTAATGCCTGTAACATATGTGTACAGTTGTTTTATGTTACTAAGTCTTGTAGGTGTTTGTCTGTGGCGTACAGTCGTCTACATTTGCCAAGCAGCTTGGATTTAGATCCTTTTTTCTGATTTGCATAAAAATAAATGTTTTGAAGGATTTCATAAGTTAAACGATTTTCTGAAAAATCTGTAGTGTATGATGTAAGGGCAGCGGAAGGTTACATACGTATCTTACCGTTTGCTACATCGCGACAAATGATTCCATTGAGGTGAAAGGAAGTAGTGATTAACTCGCCACATTCTTTTAAGTCAATCACAACTTTGAAGCCTGGAATGCAGCGTAAACAGACAGCTTCCACAAAATAATTATGAATTTTTTGGTCGCCTCATGTTTTGAATTGTGAATCCAACATGGCGTCTAATGACTAGGTATCCACGCCTTGGTAAAATGGTCCTTACCTTCTAGGGTATAGAGGGTAAGTTTATTTTCTTGAGCCCACAGTTAAGGAACTTGTACAGCAGCAATTCATTGTAGACAACGGACGCTGTCAAAGAAGCGCTGATCAAACTTTCATCACTTATAAAAAAGGAAAATGAGTTCTTTTCTTCGTTAAAATACACTGTTTATCAGCATTTTATAGAGGTTGCATACATTTCTTCCACGTAGTTGGGTTTTTGGGGAAGCATGGATTACAGAGATGGAGCGGTGAGACATTTTGTAGGTATCAAATATTGTGTTGATGTCTTCGAGCGTTCTTTGGCCTTGGCGTTTGACTTCGCTGTTTATTTATTTAAACTTACAAGTCAGTCGGGGAAATTGTTGCTCACTTGGTCATCTCGTTAAACTTTGCACGCAAATAACCAGGTGGGAGAAACAAAATTGCTATGTTTTGGTCACCAAATGAAACGAACGCACTTGAACATGTGGGCAAGTAGCTTGTTAAAATCATTATCAAGCTGGTCGATGTCTAGAGTGTCTTTTATTTCTTTCTGTTTAAGATCTGTACTTGAGAACATAAAATTTAAGAAGCTAATTTACAAAACAGCTAGACGGTTTATCATGGAAACAATGTTGTAACCATCGCTCTCAATATTCGCAATGTTCTTCAAAGAGTGCCGGGTTTTGAAAACAGGTTTCGGTGATATTCAGTAAAATTTAGTAATTCGCTACACTGCATGTAGTTGCTGGAGTGTGGACAAAATAGGCTATCAAAGCTGCCTTGTATAATGCACGACAAACGTGTCTGGCATAGCAACATGTGACCTGGACAAAAAAACCCAGTCATTTCATACATTTCAATTAATGTCATTTTCACCATCGGGTATATTACAAACTCACAATGGCCCGCTCTCCAGTTGCCTTGATTAGCTCAATGGATAGAGCATTGCATCCAGTCATCACAAAGGTCAGGGTTCGCTTCCTGGTTCTAGACTGAATTTTTTCATGTTCTTTTTCAAGGTTGTTCTTTCTACTGCAAATATTATGTTCACTTTTGTGTCATATGATTGTTTATCCACAGTTCAAAATATGATTCCTTTGATCATTTCAATATTTTTCCAAATCATAAAAGTAGATTTATGTTATGAAATTGGATTACTCAGAATTGTTTGTCGGGACAGCTTCCTAAAGTTTCTGCTTTCTCATTGTCCAGCAAAACACCAAATATGAAAGTGGAAATCTCAAAATCCTTTGCTTTTACTATTTCAGCGTGCAAAGAAAGTTGTGTCCGATAGCCTGGGGCTAGTGGATTTTGCTATCGGGCTAGTGATTTTTGTTTTTAACTTGCCTGACGGGCAAGTGCTGTATTTTGGGGGAAATTCAAATTGCAGAAGGATTATAATCAATCCTTCTTATCAAAAAGGGCTTTGGGGCTAGTTGAAATGACTCTTGGCCTAGTACATGCTAGCTACAGCTTGCCCGAATGGCAGGCTGTAAAACTGATTTTCTTTGCACCCTGTATTTAAACATTTTTGTGTAATATTTGATTATACTAGCTCACAAATGTCCTTTCTGACTATTTTTCAATTTATGTGTGTTACTTTTTGTCATTTATCTTCTTTGTAGTCTTCCCCCTACCAGCCTGGCTACCGAGGATATGGTACAGACTCACCCCACCGAGCTAGCATTCGTTCTACATCCTCCTTCCCTGGAGCAACTGGATCAGTGTCTTCATTTTATGACAATTTACAACAATCTCCAAGAGGGANTGTCCAGCAAAACACCAAATATGAAAGTGGAAATCTCAAAATCCTTTGCTTTTACTATTTCAGCGTGCAAAGAAAGTTGTGTCCGATAGCCTGGGGCTAGTGGATTTTGCTATCGGGCTAGTGATTTTTGTTTTTAACTTGCCTGACGGGCAAGTGCTGTATTTTGGGGGAAATTCAAATTGCAGAAGGATTATAATCAATCCTTCTTATCAAAAAGGGCTTTGGGGCTAGTTGAAATGACTCTTGGCCTAGTACATGCTAGCTACAGCTTGCCCGAATGGCAGGCTGTAAAACTGATTTTCTTTGCACCCTGTATTTAAACATTTTTGTGTAATATTTGATGATACTAGCTCACAAATGTCCTTTCTGACTATTTTTCGATTTATGTGTGTTACTTTTTATCATTTATCTTCTTTGTAGTCTTCCCCCTACCAGCCTGGCTACCGAGGATATGGTACAGACTCACCCCACCGAGCTAGCATTCGTTCTACATCCTCCTTCCCTGGAGCAACTGGATCAGTGTCTTCATTTTATGACAATTTACAACAATCTCCAAGAGGGACTGTTCCTCAAACTAACAGTAGAGGTAAAAACATATTTTCAGACATAGTTAATAGACAGAAATCGATATATCAGAGCCAGTGGTTCCGGCTCTAATTCATGCTAGCCAATGGGGTAATACCTATTATTTCTCAATTAAGGTACAACAATCACTATCAATTTAAAATCAGAGTCTACATGGTTTAGTATTATTTTTGTTGTTAATTTTGATTCTCAACTTTATTTCCAAAATAGCCGTAGTATCAGCATTAAAGGGATTGCAGGAAAAAATTCGCAAACTCGAGTTGGAAAGAGCAGATGCGGAAGATAACTTGAAGAAATTAGCAACAGAATCCAGACATTATAAAGATGCACTACAAAAAGAACTCCATGTAAGAGACTCAACGCAAGGAGTGATTGCAAAACAAAACAAACGTAGGTGATAAAGCTTACACTGTATTCATTTTATGTGAAATACGACTGTACACTGTAGATAATCGATAAACATGCTTTAGTGCTATTGACCACTGTTGATAGAAGTGAAATAATCCTGCTTCTGTTATAGTAGTAAAATGAACCTCCATTAATTCCGTGTTTTTTTGGTAATAGCAAGTGGCTGTTTAACCCTTTAAGCCCCAGTATCTACATACAAATTCTCCAAACTGATCTCTATACATTTCCTTAAGGAATGAGTTAAGAGAATTTGATAAAAGATTGAGGCATTTTTACTTGGGCGATCATTTTATTAATTCTCATAACTTATCTGTTGACAATGTATGGATATCGTTGGAAGAAAATTGATCTTGGTCACTATTGGGACTTAAAGGGTTAATAGACGTTGGTCATTTAACGGAGGCTTGTTAGACTACTTTTCCACAAAAGACAGCTCTAAATCAGTTGTCACCTTCTATCTTGGACTATAGTTTCCCTCATCATATTTTCAAAGCAAAGCCCTGCAACATATTGTATCAAACGCTTGGTGACAACAATAGGAGTTCTTTTGTTAGGACAGCCAGAAGGTGGCTGCAGCCGCTTGATAGAGGTTGTACATTAAGGTGGTTCATTACTGACCACTTAATGGAGGTTCATCTGTATATTGGCATTCATTAGATACAAGAACATAGAAATGTACATGCAGCTTCCAGTACATGTTCCTTAAGCATAAGCATACCAAGAAAATTTAAAAGGTTAATAAAAACAAAAGAGCAAAGCAGCCTTTCTGGTTAATTATCTTAGTTGCATTGGATCTCTATACAAAATAAGCCCAACAAAAAGTAACATGAAAAAGTGTCACGACCAATATAGGACTTTCTAACTCAGTGTTCAATTCCTAGCGAACTTATTGCATATACACTCCCTGTTATTATTTCAAATCTTAGTGACAGCCCTGGTGCTGTTGAAAGATCATTTGTAACAGCGGTGATTTTGTTACAAATAGCTATGGTGAGTCCAGGGACTCCTCTTGTGAAAAATTGTGAGTACCAGTCCAGAACCAATAAGTCCCAGTTAAAAAAGATGAGTCCCTGGGTCTTCATGTAACCACACAGTTAACTCTATAAATACAGTTTACTGAAAGAAAAATATACGCAAATTGTCAAGCACAACAAAGACTAAAAGAAATGTGTGCCCTTAAACAACAGCCACAAGAACAGCCACAGAAATCACACAAAGAGGATATACTACAAAAACCTCTTCAGATCCATCAAACAGATCGATCAATCAATCTTTGTGTCCTATGGGATGGGATGCATACCACAAATTATTTTGTGTCTTTGGGGGTTTTTATGCGTCAGGGATGCAGGACGCGGAGGTAACAAAATCACTGTAACAGACATTGTTTAATACAGAATTTCTCTTTAGAATTAGAAGAAGATCTACAGGGTGCAGAGGCCCGATGTAACTTGCTGGAGAAGCAGTTAGATTACATGCGTAAGATGGTCCAGACAGCCGAGGCAGACAGAGACACTGCAATACAGCGATCAGCAATGGTGGCTAAACAAGCTGCACAGCAAACATCGGAAGATGTTAGAGGGCAGCTGGAAAAACTTTCAGGCCTTGAAAGAGATCATATGAAATTAACAGCACAGCATTCTATAGCTGAAGTGAGTTGCCATAAAATTTATGCTCACAATGGCATTAGCTACTCTTTTAGTGTTCAAAGCTCCCAGGCTCTAATGAGCATCCCCCAACCAATAAAAAAACAGTGCATCTGCCCTCAGCCCTTCCATCACTTCCCTTTAATTTGTTATTAGGAAAAGAAGTAGAAAGGATTACCACAGCCAGTTAGTGTGCGGCCTTCTGTGCTTCTTCTAGAATTTGTGATGATTATCATCCATAATGATTTATCTTTTCATGTGCTTGTCTTTCAGAGTAAGATCAGAGAACTGGAAGACAGGCTTAGAGAGGAAGCTCACCAGAGGAAATTGGTTCAAAATAAGACAGCCGAGGTTGTTAGTAAATATCATTTGAGCAACTGCAGTTAGAGTTAATATTTTCTGGAAATATCTTACAATGTACCTTTTTTGTCTTTTTCCTTTCTTTTTTCTTTCTTGAAATCTTTCTTTCTTTCTTTTTGCTGTTTGAAATACAGTAAAACCTCACCACTAAGAACCTGGATTTTTCCAAGTAAGCCTAAACAGGTTCTTAAATAAAATTATGGTGGTGACCATGTAGCATAAGTTTAGCCTATTTAGCTTCTTACACTGTAAATAGGTTCTTATTTTCTAATGAAAGAAAATACAATATAGCTTAGAAGAGTATTTAGTGGTTCAGCTTATTCCTCATATAAAATCTGCATACAGATTACCATTACATTGCAGTTGGAGTATAAGGGAACCTATGTCTCCAAAGAGGATTCTGAATGTTGACTTATCTTATTTGCCCAAGTGTACGGAATTTGTCATAGATTTTAGAAAATCAGAACGTTTTCAAAAATTTAGGCCAGACAGGTTCTTACATAGAGGGAGCTTAACTGGCAAATTTTAGCCTAACAGGTTCTTTTAATCCAGGTTCTTAGTCGCGGGGTTTTACTGTAATCAAATCACTGGCTTTGAATGGCTTGCGAGTGGTAATTAAACATTTTCAAATGATTTATTTCGAGTTTCATCGCTACAACAGTATGGAGAGTCACCAAGACCATAATGCACCTTGTTTACCCCCCCGCCAAAAAAACAGCAATTTCTCCTCAGGGGTATTACAGTCGTCCCAGGAGAAATCAAAGACAAATGTTATGCAAAAGGCAAAATTTGGGGGGGGGGGGGGGGGGGGGTAAAGAAGGTGCATTATCGTCTTGGTGAAAATGGTGCATAGCTTAAATTTTAGCCATTTCCTTGACCCTACTCTACGTGTAATTTAATGAGTTATGCAAGAAGCACAAATTAACATTACTGCTTTCTGCAAGTATTTCCTTGTTTTGAACTATTACCCATCTATCCAAGGTAAACGGAATAACTATAAAAAAAAATATCAAGATGCTGCCGTTAGTTTAGCACTTGTTCAGTTCAAAACTGAGCTAAACTGTCTGTGGCCAATTCCTACTGTACCCTATTTTTCACAGCTTATAGTTAAATTAATTCATAATTGTTTTTCTAGCTGGAATCAGTTGCGGAGACGAATAGGATCCTCATGGACATGACATCTCCACCCAGGGTTAAGAAGAAAAAAAGGAAGGTGATGACTTTTCTACACTGTACTACATGTAGCCTCATTTATTTTGCGTAGTATTATTCCAAAGCTAAGCTATGTTCTTTCTTTTCCTCTTTGCAGCCTCCAAAGCCCAAGCCCGCAAGAAGAGCACCACAACCGGCTAAACCGCCAGATCATTATCGACTTAACTTAGGAAATATTCCTTTTGTCGTGGGCCAGGTGCGTATCTCCGGATTCAAAGCTGTCATCAAAAGTTTTCTCTTTCCAACCTCTATTCCAGGTTTCTGACTCCTTCTAGTCCCCCGGGGCTGCGAGTAGGAGAGAAGTCTGGGAACGAGGATGTTCTTTGTACGCCTGGAACATTCTTCACGTTACGCCCTCCACAATGTTGATTTACGTAACAACCATTTGCAATTATACGCGAATCTTTGAGAAGGAGAGAGGAAGTACACTCGCAGAAAAGTTCAATAGATTGGATGAGAAGGCGTGACATGAAAAATCCTCATTTTCGGTCTAGTGTTTCAACGAAATTTGACGAGTGTTGCAGGTTGTTCTGTTTCCTGAATTTTAACTTAGTCGACCTCATTTTAGACTACGAGTAGTCCCCCATTTTTCCTCAGGGATAGTAGAGCGAGCGAAACGCGAGCGGGCGTGAAAATCACCCCACGCGACATTTTTCTCTCCCCGCCGCGTGTCGCCTTTTCTCGCGTGGGGTGATTTTCACGCGCGCTCGCGTTTCGCTCACTCTACTATCCCTGAGGAAAATTGGGGGACTGCTCGTAGTCTAACCTCATTTTCAAGCTTTTTTCTTCTTCAAATTCCTTTCGGCACCGAAGAATTAACGTACATCAAGTCTAATCGTTTTGGATGGTGTAACTCTTTTCCCTGACCTGAGACACAACTTTTAACCTCGAACCGGGTTAAATCATTTACATGGTTCAGGTTTATGATATCAATGCAAAATTATGGCTGGAATACCCATGAAAAGACCTCTATGTCCTCATATGTAAGATGATATGTAAGATTCAATGTCCATTTTCAATGTCCATTTTCTTGTCACATTCGTCTAAAAGTTGGCTACATTTTTAATACCTGCATAGCAACTATCCCGCGAGCTTTGTCCTTTCCAGCTTCGCGAAGTAAGTACATAAATACGTTTCTAAAATCTTAAGTTTTTGTATGTCGCCTAACGAAATAACCCGAAGGACGATTTCAAAGTCGTGACGTTGCGTTTTTCCCTTTTTCCTTTCTTCTTCTTTATGCCATTACGGTCTAAAAAGTCGACGTTTCATTCCATGTCTTAACATTTTTACTAAAATTTCCTACATAACCTTGCGCTCGGTTAAAGGGAAGTTTTACTGGAGTGTAGAAAATTAGGTCTATAAGTTCAATTTGAACTGTATTACCAAATGGCACTGATCATAAACTTTGCCTTAATTTCAGTCAACTACGAAGTCACATTCTCTGGGTGCTTTTTTTGTGATATCCGGAATAATCAAGGTCTCGGTTAGTGTTATCAGCCTCAGCCTTCGGCTTCGGCTGATAACACTTACCTTGACCTTGATTATTCCGGATATCACAAAAACCTCATCCAATAATTGTTTACAATTTACAATCAGAGTCTACATAGTTTAGTATTATTTTTGTTTTAATTTTGATTCTCAACATTATTTCCAAAATAGCTGTAGTATCAGCATTAAAGGGATTACAGGAAAAAATTCGCAAACTTGAGTTGGAGAGAGCAGATGCAGAAGATAACTTGAAGAAATTAGCAACAGAATCCAGACATTATAAAGATGCACTACAAAAAGAACTCCATGTAAGAGATTCAACGCAAGGAGTGATTGCAAAACAAAACAAACGTAGGTGATAAAGCCTACACTGTACTCATTTTATGTGAAATACGACTGTACACTGTAGATAATCGATAAACATGCTTTAGTGCTATTGTCCACTATAGTAGTAAAATGAACCTCCATTTAGCTGGGTTTGCGGTAATAGCAAGGGGCTGTTTAATGTAGGTTGGCCATTCAATGGAGACTCGTTAGACAACTTTGCCACAAGAGACAGCTCTAAATCAGTAATGTCACCTTCTATCTTGGACTATAGTTTCCCTCATCATATTGTATCAAACGCTTGGTGGCTGTTTAAAAGAGGTGACAACAACAATAGGAGTTCTTTTGTTAGGATAGCCAGAAGGTGGCTGCGACCGCTTGATAGAGGTTGTCACTTAGGGCGGTTCATTACTGACCACTTAATGGACGTTCATCTGTATATTGGAATTTATTGGACACAAGAACATAAAATTGTACATGTAGCTGCCGGTACATGTTCCTTAAGCCTAGGCATACCAAGAAAATTTAAACATTTAAAAGGTTAATAAAAGCAATTTTTCTGTTTAAATATCTTAGTTGCATTGGATCTCTATACAAAATAAGTGCAACAAAAACATGAAAAAGTGTCACGACCAATATAGGACTTTCTAACTCAGTGTTCAGTTCCTTGCACTTACCGGTACTGCATATACACTCCCTGCAATTTGAAATCTTAATGACAGCCCTTGTGTTGTTGAAAGATCATTTGCAACAGCAGTGTTTTTGTTACAAATAGCTATGGTGAGTCCTGGGACTCTTCTTGTGAAAAATTGTGAGTACCAGTCCAGAACCAATGAGTCCCAGTTAAAAAACATGAGTCCCTGGGTCTTTATGTAACCACACAGTTAATCTAAAGACAGACTCCAAAACTCTATAAATACAGTTTAATGAAATAAAAATATACTCCTATTGTCAAGCACAACTAAGACTAAAATAAATGCCACAAGAACAGCCACAGAAATCACACAAACAGGATATACTACAAAAACATCTTCAGATCGATCAATCGATCTTTGTGCCCTACAGGATGCATACCACAAATTATTTTGCGTTTTTGGGGATTTTTATGTGTCAGGGATGCAGGATGCAGAGGTAACAAAATCACTATAACAGACATTGTTTAATACAGAATAATTATTTCTCTTTAGAATTAGAGGAAGATCTACAGGGTGCAGAGGCCCGATGTAACTTGCTGGAGAAGCAGTTAGATTACATGCGTAAGATGGTCCAGACTGCCGAGGCAGACAGAGACACTGCGATACAACGATCAGCAATGGTTGCTAAACAAGCTGCACAGCAAACATCGGAAGATGTTAGAGGGCAGCTGGAAAAACTTTCAGGCCTTGAAAGAGATCATATGAAATTAACAGCACAGCATTCAATAGCTGAAGTGAGTTGCCATAAAATTTATGCTCACAATGGCATTAGCTACTCTTTTAGTGTTCAAAGCTCCCAGGCTCTAATGAGCATCCCCCAACCAATAAAAAAACAGTGCATCTGCCCTCAGCCCTTNGTTCAAAGCTCCCAGGCTCTAATGAGCATCCCCCAACCAATAAAAAAACAGTGCATCTGCCCTCAGCCCTTCCATCACTTCCCTTTAATTTGTTATTAGGAAAAGAAGTAGAAAGGATTACCACAGCCAGTTAGCGTGCGACCTTCTGTGCTTCTTCTAGCATTTGTGATGATTGTCATCCATAATGATTTGTCTTTTCATGTACTTGTCTTTCAGAGTAAGATCAGAGAACTGGAAGACAGGCTTAGAGAGGAAGCTCACCAGAGGAAGTTGGTTCAAAATAAGACAGCCGAGGTTGTTAGTAAATATCATTAGAGCAACTACAGTTAGAGTTAGGATTTTCTGGAAATATCTTGCAATGTACCTTTTTTGTCTTTTTCCTTTCTTTTCTTTCTGTCTTTCTTTTTTTTGTTTGCTGTTTGAAATACAGTAAAACCTCTAAGACTAACGACTAAGAACCTGGATTTTTCCAAGTAAGCCTCAACAGGTTCTTAAATAAAATTATGGTAGTGACCATGAAGCATAAGTTTAGCCTATTTAGTTTCTTACACTATGAATAGGTTCTTATTTTCTAATGAAATAAAATACAATCTAACTAAGAGTATTTAGTGGTTCAGCTTATTCCTCATATAAGATCTGCATACTATTACATTGCAGTTGGAGTGATAAGGCACCTATGTCTCCAAAGAGGATTCTGAATGTTGACTTATCTTATTTGCCCAAGTGTACAGAATTTGTCATAGATTTTAGAAAATCAGAACGTTTTCAAAAATTGAGGCTAAACAGGCTCTGACATAGAGGAGGCTTAACTGGCAAAATTTAGCCTAACAGGTTCTTTTAATGCAGGGTCTTGGTCGCAGGGTTTTACTGCAATCAAACCACTGGCTTTGAATGGCTTGCGAGTGGTATTTAAAAATTTTCAAACAATTATTTATTTGGAGTTTCATGGCTACAACAGTATGGTTTAACCCTTCCCCCCCCACCCCTCAAAAAAAAAAAAAAATTTCTCCTCAGGGGTATTACAGTCGTCCCAAGAGAAATCAAAGACAACTGTTATGCAAAAGGAAAAATTTGGGGTAAATAAGGTGCATTATGGTCTTGGTGAAAATGGTGCATGGCGTACATTTTTGGCCATTCCCTTGACCATACTCTACATGTAATTTAATGAGTTATGCAAGAAGCAAAAATTAACATTACTGTTTTTACAAGTATTTCCTTGTTTTGAACTATTAGCCATCTATCCAAGGTAAACGGAATAACTATAAAAAAAAATGTCAAGATGTTGCCGTTAGTTTAGCACTTGTTTAGTTCAAACCTGAGCTAAACTGTATGTGACCAATTCCTACTGTACCCTTTTTTCACAGCTTATAGTTAAATTAATTCATAATTGTTTTTCTAGCTGGAATCAGTTGCAGAGACGAATAGGATCCTCATGGACATGACATCTCCACCCAGGGTTAAGAAGAAAAAAAGGAAGGTGATAACTTGTCTACACTGTACTATAAACCTCGTTTATTTTGCATAGTATTATTCCAAAGCTAAACTATGTTCTTTCTTTTCCTCTTTGCAGCCTCCAAAGCCCAAGCCCGCAAGAAGAACACCGCAACCCGCTAAACCTTCAGATCATTATCGACTTAACTTAGGAAATATTCCTTTTGTCGTGGGCCAGGTGCGTGTCTCCGGATTCAAAGCTATCATCAAAAGTTTTCTCTTTCCAACCTCTATTCCAGGGGTCTGACTCCTACTCGTCCCGGGGCTATGAGTAGGAGAGAAGTTTGGGAACGAGGATGTTCTTTGCCCACATGGAACATTCTTCACGTTACGCCCTCCCCAATGTTGATTCACGTATCAACCACCATTCGCAAATATACGCGAATCTCAACATTGGGGAAGGAGAGAAGAAGTACACTCGCAGAAAAGTTCAATAAATTGGTCGAGAAGGCATGACATGAAAGTCTAAATAGTGTTTCAACGAAATTTGACGAGTGTTGCAGGTTGTTCTGTTTCCTGAATTTTAACTTAGTCGACCTCATTTTCCAGCTTTTTTCTTCTACAAATTCCTTTCGGCACCGAAGAATTAACGTACATCAAGTCTAATCGTTTTGGATGGTGTAACTCTTTTCCCTGACCTGAGACACAACTTTCAACCTCGAACCGGGTTAAATCATTTACATTGTTCAGGTTTATGATATCAATGCAAAATTATGGCTGGAATACCTATGAAAAGACCTGTATGTCCTCATATGTAAGATTTTTTTAAATGTCCATTTCCTTGTCACATTCGTCTAAAAGTTGGCTAAATTACCTGCATAGCAACTATCCCGCGAGCTTTGTCCTTTACAGCTACGCGAAGTAAGTAAATGTATACGTTTATAAAATCTTGAGTTTTTGTACGTCGCTTAACGAAACAACCCAAAGGACGATTTTAAAGTCGTAACCTTTGCGTTTTTCCCTTTTTCCTTTCTTCTTCTTTATGCCATTACGGTCTAAAAAGTCGCCGTTTCATTCCATGTCTTAACATTTTTACTAAAATTTCCTACATAACCTTGCGTTCGGTTAAAGGGAAGTTTTACTGGAGTATAGAAAATTAGGTCTATAAGTTCAATTTGAACTGTGTTACCAAATGTCACTGATCATAAACTTTGCCTTAATTTCAGTCAACTACGAAGTCACATTCTCTTGGTGCTAATTTACAAACTGTGCTGTCCTTAATGAAGGCCCATAACCCTGCGCTTTGTAACGCTGCTGCACGGCGGGCTCAAAAGAGGCACACGCAGAGTGCAGGATCTACACCTCGCTCCAGTGACTCAGAGAGTGCTTTTGACGAGCTACTTCTGGGCCTTCAGGATGAGTTTGGACATATTACTTTGTAAGTGTTGTATTTTACGCTTTGAATTCAAAAAGTATTTTCAAGCCTTAAAATGTGGGTCTTTTCGGTGACTGAACAGAATTCATTGGGGTCTATATCCCTTGAATTCTCTCAAAAAATTGTTATAAGGAAATGTATCGGGATCAGTGTGGAAATTTTGTATGTGGATATCGGAGCTCCATTAGTCAGACTTCCTTTGAATAACCGATCCTGTAATTTCAACCGTAAACCTCTTGCTAAACTGAAAACAGAGTTACCTTAGTAGATGTAAGTAAATTTATAGCTCTATGAAGTTGTCACTTTGGTAAAGCTGAAAACGAAAATCCAATATTTCTCCCTGTTTATCTACAGCGAACACCGCGAAGTCGCCCGCCAAATACAAGAATCAGAAGACCCAAGAATACAAGAAGACCTCAGACGAGAACTGGAAAATCTAGAAGCTCGCATGGAGGCGAAAGGAGAACAAATAGCCATGGTTAGACGGCAACAACAGAAAGCTAAAAAGCGACATAAACAGCAAAAGGCGAGATCAGCGGCAAGACCCAAAAGCGCAAGCGCTGTTCTCCCGGCGAGCGGCGGTGAAGTGGAAGTGATAACGACCGTTAAAACGAAAGCGGCAAAAAACGCTCCACAGGGAGGGGGAGCCAAAAAGACTCTTGCTGTTTATAAAGGAATGAAGACACTTAAAAACTCTTTAGAGAAAAATCCTTATCATTGGGAGTAGTTCTGGGTAATAGGAAGGGAGGGATGGATGAGTTTGCGCATGAGAATTGGGTGTGGGGATTTTAAAGTAGGATTAAACAAAGCAGATGTCAGATGTACTTTGAAATGGCCAGTTCTTGGACAACGTGACACTTGTTACATTTCCGTCGTATCCAGATGGTAAAGAATCAATTTTATCTACCCTTTTTCCTGTATGTGTCAAACCGAAACCATCTAATAGTATATTTGACTTCGCCTTTAGTGGATAGTGTTTTCAATTTCTGACTAGTGGCATGTTTTATTGGCTGTTTATTTATTGTATGGTTCCTTGTACAAATACACAAATGTCATGTAAATGCAGAGAAAGTGAAAATTTGTCAAATCAAAATGAATAAATTATATATATCTATACCCAGCTACCAAACAAAGTTGCTTGTGGTATGTGCGTTTAACATTATTGCCGTGCTAATGATGGCAGACGCACCCATCTTTTTTTGCGTAAGGCAATATCGTACCCTCTCGATCAGCGTGTGGTCGAGCTTCATAACGACAACAGAAACAAACTTTATTGGCTAATGAATACCATGGCCAACACACAGTACTTGAAAACCCCTTATTTACTGTAATTTCATTTACGAGAAAGTGGAAGAATAAAATATCGAGCTTTACGCTTTGTGCGCTTACCCCATTAGCCTACTAGTATGCTAATGGGGTAAGTGCCGCTGGATGTGGTCGCTTTTTCACGACTGGATTGTACTAGGAGGCTTATGGGGTAAGTGCCGCTGGACGGAGTCGCATTTTCACGACAGGATTGACTATTATGGGGTTGCATTTTTATAAGAGTTACTAGAATGGGGCCAGACATTTTCAGGATATTGGGGGTCAGAAAATTCAGGCATGTAGGGATTTAAAAATAGAAAGAATTTATCAACTGTCATTTTATTTCAGGATGACTTAGTTAAAAGGCTTTATAGGGTAGATGCATAAACAAAAAGTGACTAAGTTGGGATTGCGACAATTACTTTCTTCCAAAAGTGACTAAGATGGGGTCTATAATATAGCCACACAATAGACTATAATGGGGTTGGCCTAGGGGTTCTGACAGAGGCCAGCGGCACAACCCCAGAAGGCCATAACTTTCGCTTCTACGGAGACTCCATCAAACCGACTTTTGACCTCCAACAAACAAAAGTAACAGAGACTAACAAACAATTAAGAAAGGTAATAAAGTGTACTTTCCTTTGATCCACTATTGAAAATCACTCTAATTACTTTTTAAGCTGATGAGTTCAGAAATTCATTAGCTGGCAAATAAAACTTAACAGACCGCTTATATTAAATGAAGGCATAGATGTAAAATTGCCGCCCGTACAGTTGACAAAACCAGTAGTGAGAATTAATTAAACACACACTGTAAACAGTTCACCCTTGACAAAAAGGTAATGGAAAATGTCTTTGTGTCGATGAATTGTTATTCAAATATTTGCGCTCTTCATCAACCCTGGACAACAATATTCAAACATCAAAACTTCATAACAAAGGAACGTCGTATATTCACTGGTAAACAATAGAAACATGGCTTGTGCGTATCGCACAAACAGGCAAGAACATTGCCTTCATCACGATCGATAACTTGCAATTAATTGCATACAATAGTGGCTGAAAAAAGAAAAATATGCCATGGAAGTACAAAAACAAAGTTACAAGAACAAGGGAAAACGATGGGACCCGTTCAATACGTTTGCAAAGTACGCGGTTATTACAAGCCAGGATAACGGTTTTCACGTCTGAATACAAACATCATGGACTGCTGTCCAACAAGTGATCATGAAGTTAAACAATGGTACCCTGTAACTCCAGTCGGTAAGTTTTTTATTGTTTGGCTAATACTCAACAAGTTGTAGTTGTTCATATGTTCATTTTCTATTCGTGAACAAAATTTGCTGGTTTTTCCAGGCTTATCATCACCATGGCATCTTTGCATGACTAAGTGCAATTTTGATTATCTCATTTCAAACTTTGTATTGATAACATCACACATTTCAGACATTTCGTTGACTTCTCAAACGCTCAAACCTTTTTGTCAATCAATCACAATCAATTACAGATACACAATCCAAATCATCCTTCAAAAAAGACTAAAATGATCTGGCAAACGTTATTGTTCAGCATTTTTCATGTCTTCTTAGAGAGTAGAAACACAAAATCATTTCTAAAAATCTTTTTAACAAGCCTTTGAATATAGTAAATAAACCACTGCACTGCAAGACTTGCTACTGTAAGTACTCTCAGTAAAACCATCATAGTATCGGGAAACTAAACGGTTGGACGTCTGTTATGTTTTATGGTAATTCGTAATCAATGGAAGAATTTAAATGGACGTAGTCAACTCTCTCGTCTAGTGAGACGAACACCTCTGGGACCGGCACTAAGTGCCCGTCTAAGAGTGATCGATGTCTGTCTTATGGAGAGTCAAATAAAGGGAGTAAAGAAAGGCAGGGACTAGCCTGTGTAGCTGGCGGGATTAGCTGGAGGGCAGTAGTTTTTTGGCGGCAGGGCCGAGGGAAGGTTGGGAACAACCAAACGACTGGAATCGCGCTAATAAACATCGGTACGGTATGAAAGACTTTGCACTGTAAGGAGTCTCTTACCTAGGCTCTTGGAACTTTGGTTTTTATACGTTTACATGAGCCCTGCATAACCTGGGAATGCAGTAGGAAATTTTGTTTATTCGAAAAAGCGCTGCGGCGCTAATTTTTGTTCGACTTTATTTGAAGGCGACGCTTTTTCGAGTACTCAGGTTTCGATAGCCTTTGAAGCTTTATCACATTGCGGATTTGTGGCTTCAACAGGGGAGGGCTCTGTACCACTAGTTTTAAGTGCTGCACGAAATGGTGGTCAGTGATGGTGGTGATATCCTACCTGATAGATACGTGCTTGCAAGACCACTCTTGACCCAAGCTATCAGTCTACTGATTTCAAACTGACTTATTCTACAGATCAAGCTATAGATAGAGATTGATGAAGAGAGACAGCCTTTGTAGTCTTAGAAAGCTCCTTCAATTACAATATTTACATGTATTCAAATATCTTTGGTTTAAATGGCAAACGTTTGCTTTTATATATTGCATCACTGATCAATGATACGCAAAAAGCTTTTTGACAGTTCAGTCAGCCAGAATAACAAATAGATAATATTGCCTTCAGAGGCATAAAGCAAAGGCCTATACTTAATGTTTGTGGTAGAGAAAGAAGATATCAGATTTTGTTGTGTTTTCAACGGAAAGAAGATTTCCGTTTAGGCGATAAAAAGGTAAGCCGTCTCCCATGAGATAAACTGAAACCCATATTACACTTATCATTTATATTTCCTGGTTTTGTTCTGGTCGCCTGTTCTAATGGCACACATATATATATATAAAAGACTCGCGCAAAATTAAATAAATTTTGATATCTATTCAGAATGGAACGAATTCTCTAAACATTCCTGTAAGTTATCGTTTGAGGGGATAATAGCTTTAAATAGAGATTCTCAGTTCTCAAACTCATTAATAATTCATTAAGAAAATACAAAGGAAATTAATGTTTAATGAGTGTTTGGAAATCGGATGAAACACTGCTTAGTATTTGCATCCTTAATTTCTCCTTCAAAAATGATTTTGTTACAGTTGACAAAACCAGTAGTGAGAATTAATTAAACACACACTGTAAACAGTTCACCCTTGACAAAAAGGTAATGGAAAATGTCTTTGTGTCGATGAATTGTTATTCAAATATTTGCGCTCTTCATCAACCCTGGACAACAATATTCAAACATCAAAACTTCATAACAAAGGAACGTCGTATATTCACTGGTAAACAATAGAAACATGGCTTGTGCGTATCGCACAAACAGGCAAGAACATTGCCTTCATCACGATCGATAACTTGCAATTAATTGCATACAATAGTGGCTGAAAAAAGAAAAATATGCCATGGAAGTACAAAAACAAAGTTACAAGAACAAGGGAAAACGATGGGGTCCGTTCAACACGTTTGCAAAGTACGCGGTTATTACAAGCAAAGATAACGGTTTTCACGTCTGAATACAAACATCATGGACTGCTGTCCAACAAGTGATCATGAAGTTAAACAATGGTACCCTGTAACTCCAGTCGGTAAGTTTTTTATTGTTTGGCTAATACTCAACAAGTTGTAGTTGTTCATATGTTCATTTTCTATTCGTGAACAAAATTTGCTGGTTTTTCCAGGCTTATCATCACCATGGCATCTTTGCATGACTAAGTGCAATTTTGATTATCTCATTTCAAACTTTGTATTGATAACATCACACATTTCAGACATTTCGTTGACTTCTCAAACGCTCAAACCTTTTTGTCAATCAATCACAATCAATTACAGATACACAATCCAAATCATCCTTCAAAAAAGACTAAAATGATCTGGCAAACGTTATTGTTCAGCATTTTTCATGTCTTCTTAGAGAGTAGAAACACAAAATCATTTCTAAAAATCTTTTTAACAAGCCTTTGAATATAGTAAATAAACCACTGCACTGCAAGACTTGCTACTGTAAGTACTCTCAGTAAAACCATCATAGTATCGGGAAACTAAACGGTTGGACGTCTGTTATGTTTTATGGTAATTCGTAATCAATGGAAGAATTTAAATGGACGTAGTCAACTCTCTCGTCTAGTGAGACGAACACCTCTGGGACCGGCACTAAGTGCCCGTCTAAGAGTGATCGATGTCTGTCTTATGGAGAGTCAAATAAAGGGAGTAAAGAAAGGCAGGGACTAGCCTGTGTAGCTGGCGGGATTAGCTGGAGGGCAGTAGTTTTTTGGCGGCAGGGCCGAGGGAAGGTTGGGAACAACCAAACGACTGGAATCGCGCTAATAAACATCGGTACGGTATGAAAGACTTTGCACTGTAAGGAGTCTCTTACCTAGGCTCTTGGAACTTTGGTTTTTATACGTTTACATGAGCCCTGCATAACCTGGGAATGCAGTAGGAAATTTTGTTTATTCGAAAAAGCGCTG